CAGAGAAAAACCCTATTTGCTTCACACACAAATGAACTAGATGATAACATAAGGTCCAACAAAATATTTTTAAGAATTTATTTACTTATGCATACAAGAACTGGGGTATAGGCCAGCAATGCAGGGAATGAGAGATTCCCCAGGGACAGAGTGGGGAGCAGAACAGGAGGATCCATTTAAGTCCACTGAAGAGGACAGCACAGGGCGAGAGCGGAGAGGTCTGTGTGCCAGCTCCCAGGCCAGATGTGGGACACACCAGTGTCTGGTGATAGGTTGATAGTACTGAGACTTCAGCACTGCCTCACCAAGGAGGCCCAAGGTCCAAGAACATTTAGGGCAGGGAAGTGAATGAGTTGGTTTCAGCCTGATGTTAGTTTCAGCCTGATGCCCACAGTGTGAAAAAGAACAGTGAGTGAAGCCTTGTTGTGCAAGGACAATGCAAATTCATTCAAAATGGATGCAAATTCATTCAAAATGTTTCAACAGTCACCTGCAACCCACCAAACTTCTGATAAGCTGTAAAGATTTTCAAAGGGGGGCAGGGGGAATCCCAGACCTCAAGAGCCAGAGGAGTTAAGGAATTCTGGAAGTTATCGTGAAAACTATTTTCAAGCATAAAGTAGATAGCAGAAGTGGCCCAGTGGGCAAACCAGTAGTTGAAGCTGGTGAGCCTATGTGAGAAGCTGGTGATCTTGGTACAGAGAGGCAGAGAAGGAAAGTCCAAGATGCTTTAGCAGGGGTATGCGGATGTGACTCGGGACCGAAGGACAACTCTGGACCCCAGTGTTCAGTCAGGTAGCGGGGCTCTTGGGGGTGAGGGAAAGAAATGGGAAGTAAGCAAAGGGAAGCTGCCTGAGTGGATGACTGGCATCTCTCAGAAGCAGCCCCTCTGTACCCACCTTTTCACCTTCCACAGAGAAGCCAAGACCTGAAGGCAATGCTGACATTTCCTCATGCTGTGCCATGGGCTGTGGATGCCCTGTCTCTGACTCCTGAGGAAATCCAAGATGAATCATCATCCTTTCTCTTCCTCTGACAGGGCCCCCATATAGCACAATGTGTCCACTGCTAGGGAGACACAAACACTAGGATGGGAAGAAGCATTACTGCCTCCCTCTGAACAGTGATC